CTTTCCCTTCGTGGGATATGCATACTTCAATTACCAAGAAATTCATAACCAGTACATAATACAAGGTAATTCAAGAAGTAATAACATAATCAACATCAATATAAGCAATTGACATATTCCCTTCATAGCCTTCAAGGCTTCATTCAAAGACTCAACCCTAATTTCATAAAAATTATACTTAACCTAGGGTAGAATCATCATACAAACATGAATTACATAACATCACATTCAATTCATAGCCTTCAATCAATATCCAACACAAAACTAGAGTTAGAAATTAGGAAAAGAAGGAGAAACATGAGTTTCATGGGGAATTCTTCAAGAAACCACCAATACAACATAAATTCATCCATAATTGTTCATATAATATCAATTAAAGTCAGTTTATAACATCAATTTAACTTTTAGAAAGAAGACCCACATTTTTGGATTGAAACCTAGAAATTGGAGATTTTGAAATTCATTTTGAAGGGGCCTCTTGGGGAAAGGAATCCCAAGAGTGATAAGCAACCATACCTTATTGATGAATTAACCACGAAAATCTGAGTTGAAACCTTGGAGAGTTGGTCTTCTTCTTGAAGCTCCAATCTTCTTCAATGGAGTTCTTGAGAAGAGAGAGAGAGTAGAGAGAAGGAGGAACTTTAGGTTTAGATCTTTGGGGTTTTGTGTTTGAGTGATAAAAGTGAGGTAACTTGACTTAAAAATCATTATATACACGTCCCCTAAAGTACCCTAAATACCCCTCACTCAAATGGACTCTTTAATGAAGTAAAAATAGATTTCTGAATTTCTGCATTTTCGTCGCGGACTTGGTCCGCGACGCGGAGCTGTTCCCTGAAGATATTTGGAATTAAATTTCGAGACAGTAGGGTCCGCGACACGACCGCGTCGCGAACAAATTTTTTTGCTCCTTGGGGGAGCAAGTCCGCGACGCACCCTTGTTCCCTGCAAGAGCAATTTGTAAGCTGCCTTGGCAGCTTGCTTGGCCAAGGTTGGGGTCCCCCTTGGGGACCCTTATTGTGATCCCGGGGGATCGTATTAGAATGTTTTGACCCTATAAACATATATTTACCTATTTTAACTCTTTTTACAAGATTACACCATCAGACGACACTCCCAAACCTGCCCAAAACCTAAGGACACACTAGAACACATTCTTTTCTAGTTTCCGGACGTCATGGTCGTTTCTTGACGTTTAGAATTTTACTCTTCCACACCAAGTCAATTGTATTAGTTTAGGTTTATAAACATCATTTTAACTATTTTTAAGTCATCATTCATAAGGTAAGGTTCTAACTTAAGTCATAGAATTTCCGGGGTGTTACATGATGTTGAAAAAATCTAAGTGTGGCGTTACAGAGAAGAGTTACAGACCGTAGATAGACTTACGGTCTATACTGTTGAATCGTCGATTGCGATAGAGATTTTGTAGATTTTTAAGAAAGAAAAATTGCCTAAGTCCTGAGCCACGGAAGGGACCTACGGACCGTAGATCGGCTTACGAACCGGAGGTTAGTCTCGTAGAATGAAGACGCGTCCTGCAACTTTATTTCCTTATTTCATTTCCTTTTATTTAGGACTTATTTTTCTATATATAGGGTATGTAAACCTCATTTTGGAGGTTAGACATTATTATTTTTGTTCTAGTTTTTGGCTTGGGAGATTAACTTGTAACTTTAGCAATTCTTAATTTCTTAAGCACGTTTTGGTGATTTTTACTTCGAAATTCTAGGATTATTCTACTCTACTACGTAAGTTCATGATTTATTCTTCAAACATTATGAATTGTTTTCTTGCTAATATGGGTAACTAAATCCACAACTAGGATTGTGGGAACCATGAACGATTAACGAAGTATGATTAGTAACTAAGTAATTCTCGAATAGTGTTTTGCATGCATTGATAATTCTTTCGTCTAAAAGTCTTTTTAATGGTGCGCAATGTTAGAACTCGCCTTGTTGCTACTTGCCGGACCAAGGAGGTAGTTAATAAGAAAAGAATTATCAACATAGATTTAGTGTGATACTATCTAATAGAATTAATGTCGATTGGTGCGAGGGTGAAAACTAAGTCATACATCGATGTGACGTCTAATATGAGGTAATGTTAAAGGTTAGTAAATTATACACATGTAGCCGAACCAAGGTGCGGGGTGAAATTCTCTAGATGTCGGACCAAGGATTTAGAGATACATAACTTATCACTTTGCATGTAATACACTAGGAAGAGATTGCTATTACTAGGATTACAAAGTTATGACCTTATGGGGAACATGTACGCCCTAGTTTCCTTCTCAATTTGATAACAACAAAAGTTTTAATCTTGCTTACTAATTACTTTCATAATTTCCAAAATTTGTTACACAAATCTCCCCCCTTTTACTTATTTGTCTCGGAAATACATTGGCTAAACGAATATAATCGTTATTGAACTTAGGTCTAAACCATATTCCTCATGGGATCGACCCCAACCTACAAGTTGATTTCTTTAAAGTTCCTATAAGGGTTCTTGAAGAAATCCTTATATCTGCAAACCAAGGTAAGAGAAACACTGATGGATTTTTCTTAATTCTCCCATGGAAGACTAGAAAACATGTTATTCATGCTCAATTATAAGTAGAAGGCAGAAGTTCCCACAAGCTACTGCTCACTTTCCTTAATTATTAAGATACTTTTCTCTTCTTCTTTGGTTTAAGTGTGAAGGGAAGTTGAAGTTCTAGAGGAATTCAAGTTATAAGGAGAAGTTTCAAAAATTGAGGTAAGGTGACTGCTCTATCTTCTTCCTCCTTATGTATGAGTTTGAGTGACGAATTATGGGTGTGCTGTCATAAAAAAACTCAAGGGGGTGGTGAGTTCAATAATTGGTTGTATGATAAAGAATATTTGAGGCTGTTTTATGTGTATTTTTATTGGTGTAGCTTGGGTAATCTTGGAAAAGGATATATAATGTATGTATTGGGCAGAGAAGGAGGGCGTGGTGATACACATTATTTTAAGGGTTGTATGGGCTCATTATCCATCAATGTTAGCTACTATTTTACGCGTCTCACGGTGTGATAGCTGCTAATTTTAGTTTATTATGACTTATATTGTAGATTAAAACCTAAAAGGGGAGGCTGAATCGTGATAGTTGTATTGGTCAGAGGATAAGGTTTGTAAGGCTATTTGATTTCCTATTTTTTGGCATGAATCCAACACTTGTATTACAAAGTAAGCTTTCTAAGTGCCCTTTGTAGTGATTGATCAATAGTTGCAGTTCCTAACCCATAGAGCATTAAAGTGAGTACTCTAATATGAGTTTATTACTAAATGTACGTGCTTACTCTACCAAGTATTAGCATGCACGTAACCTAGATTACACATGGTACATATGTTTATATGTTGGATAGACAATCTGTCCATATTTTGCCGACTTGCTTCAATTGTCTATTCCGTCATATATGTCATCTTTTCACATGTTCATATGTTCCCTTTATTGGTTATTACTCCCATTATGTTAGACTATAATGTTACCTCACAAGATCCCTACTTTCTCTATTGTACATTTTATATGTACTTACTTGGAATATGTATCCGTCCTTAAGTTGAATCTGCCCACGTTCTCCCTTGGTTCCACGTTCATGTATACCTTGTATTTGATATTAGTTAGTGAGTATTTGGCTATCATATAGAGTTCAAATCTCTTGGCTGAATGTTAAATGTGTTCACTTGATATGTGCTTCAATTTGAGATGTCAAAATGCTTACTGAGTTATATAAGCTCCTAAGTATTACGTTGGTGTCACATTTGCTTCCCATGTCATTGTTATTATCGTAAGTCCATATTCATGTCTTCTGCTACTGGTCCATAGTTCCAAATGTCAACAATGATTATGACTACCAAAACAACAATCTCAAAAGAGTTATGATCATCAAAAGAACAATCTCAAAAGAGTTATGAACATGAAAACACAATCTCAAAGATTAAAGAATCTAAGTGAAGCAATATATATAATTAAGGGTGGCAGCTCAGAGGCGAAAGCCTAGCATGGGCTGATCCCAATTGATACAGAAGGGTAGCAGCTCAGGGGCGAAACCCTAGCATGGGCCGATCCCAATTTGCGGAATTATGAGGACAGCATCCCAGGGGTTAAAATGCCTAGCATGGGTCATCCTCTTCTACCACTGATCAGCTGGTCATTGTATCATATGTCTTATAAAATTATAACGCACATAAAAGTAAGAAAAGAATGTAACATACATGATTCCACAAGTATAAGCAAAGGTGGTCTCAAAATCCTTATTTATTATGTATTTGGTTTCACTTGAGCTCTCATTTTACATATGGTTGTATTATGCCTTACATATTTAGTACATTCTTTCGTACTGACATTCCTTATTGGGGACACTGCATTTCATGCTGCAAGTACAAGTACTCAACTAGTAGATCTCCCTAATAGAAGCACATGATACTCAACTGTTGTTGGTGAGCTCCAGGTTGATTCGGGGCTTTTTTGAGTCTTTACTATGCGTATTTTCATAGTGGTATAGTCACGGATTCTAGTAGAGGCTTTGTAGACGTTGTAGACCTATCATCTGTATTCATAGTTTCACTTGTCACATATCGATTCAGCTAGTCGACATGTGTTGTTTATGAAGCTTTTCATTTGTAAATCTATCAGCATAATAGTTTACTTTCTCATCATAGGTCACTTGTAAAGCATGTGTTCATATGGTACTTGTCCACCTCACCTAGGGTTGGGGTGTGACAGAGCTTATGGGGAACACGTACACCCTACTTTCCTTCTTAATTTGATAACAACAAAAGTTTGAATCTTGCTTACTAATTACTTTCATAATTTCCAAAATTTGTTACACAAATCCCCCCCCCCCCCCTCTTTTTACTTATTTGTCTCGAAAATACATTGGAAAAATGAATATATCGTTATTGAACTTAAGTCTAAACCATATTCCTCATGGGATCGACCCCAACCTACAAGTTGGGTTCTTTACATGATAACAATCACTTATGCTTCTGAAACACTCTCAGGGAAAGCAGTCGGAGATGATGTAAGGGATAGAAGTTCATCTCATCCGGAAGTTCATCGAACATGAACCTTTTTTGTTGGTAGAAGTTCATCTCATCGGGAAGTATTCCGCACACAATGTAATTTGCGAAATCTGCATACCAGGGATTTTGTTTAAGAGAGACTGCAAATACCTGTTCATCAGGGAAGGAATCGTTGATGTCACCCTCAAGCTCGTCATTTCCTTGCCTTCCTACCTTGATAAGTGGTCAGCTACCTGATTTTTGCAACCTCTTCTATCTTTGACCTCAAAGTCAAATTCTTGTAATAATAGCACCCACCTTATGAACCTAGGTTTTGCATCTTTCTTTGCCATCAAGTAATGGAGTGCAGCGTGATCAGTGTGAACGATTGCTGTAGTACCTAGCAAGTATGCTCGGAATTTCTCATATGCATAGACGACCATAAGCAATTCTGGCTCAGTGACTATATAGTTTCGTTGAGCACTATTTAGAGTTTTGCTTGCATAATAAATTGGGTGGAAAAGTTTGTTACGTTTTTGACCCAATGCCAAGCCACTAGCATCACATATCACTTCGAAGGATTCAAACCAATCAGGGCTAATAATGACCGGAGTGGATACCAATTTCTCTCTCAAGCTTTAAACACCGCCATACAAGCGTCATCAAAATAGAACTTCACTTCCTTCTCCAAGAGTTTGCACAGGGGGTGTCCAATCTTCGAGAAATAATTGATAAACCTCCTGTAGAATCCGGCATGTCCCAAGAAGCTGTGAATACCCTTCACTGAAATCGGCGGAGGCAGTTTCTCAATTACCTCTATTTTTTCCTTATCGACTTCCAATCCCTTTTGTGACATTTTGTGCCCGAGAACTATGCCTTCCTTCACCATGAAGTGACATATCTCCCAATTCAGAACCAGGTTTGTCTCTACGCATCATTGGAGTACGTACCCCAAGTGTGCCAAGCATTCCTCAAACGTGTCCCCTACGACTGAGAAGTCGTCCATGAATACATCCATAAAATCTTCTACCATGTCCGCGAAAATGGATAGCATACAATGTTGAAATGTTGCCGGGGCATTACATATCCCGAATGGCATCCTTTTGAATGCAAACGTTCCATACGGGCAGGTGAAGGTGGTTTTCTCTTGGTCTTCTGGCACAATAAAGATTTGGTTGTAACTGGACTACCCAGCTAAAAAGCAGTACCAACCCTTCTCTGATAGACGATCGATCATTTAATCCATAAAAGGCATTGGAAAGTGATCCTTTTCAGTCCACGAATTTAGCTTTTGATAATCCATGCATACTCTCCACCCGATCACTGGTCTAGTTGGCACAAGTTCCCCCTTTGCATTTGGGACTACGGTGATACCTCCCTTTTTTGGTACACATTGCACCGAGCTTACCCATTTGCTATTCGCAATAGGATAGATAACAAATGCGTCCAACCACTTGATGATCTCCTTTTTTACCACTTCTTGCATTGGTGGATTCAATCTTCGCTGATGCTCAACACTAGGCTTACACTCACTATCAAGTTGAATCTTGTGAGTACAAATACCGAGAGGAATGCCCACTATATCAACAATGGTCCATCCAATAGCTTTTATGTGCCTTCACAATACTTCAATGAGCAAATTTACTTGCCATTCAAGCAAGTCAGCTGCGATGATCACCGGTAGAGTGTTATTTTCCCCTAAAAAGACATATCGGAGATGAGATGGGAGAGCTTTCAATTCCAGATTAGGTGGTTCTTCTGTTGATGGTTTTGCGAGAGGACTCTCTCTATTTTTTGGGTCGATATCCAACTTGATTGGGGTCTTTGTATAACCTCCTAATCCCGACAAGGCAGCTACTACTTCCTCATAACCCTGAACTTCAGATTCATCATAATTAGCAAGTACGGCTTCAAGAGGTTCGTTCATGCATATCAAATGTCTTACACTAGCTACCGCCTTATCAATAACATCATCAGTAGACACCACATTAATATCACTTGGGTGTTTCATGGATTTACAAATGTTAAAGGTTACTGCATCTTCGTTCACCCAAAACCTCAATTCTCCACTCTTAACATCCACCAATGCTCTCCCGGTTGCCAAGAATGGCCTTACCAAAATAATGGGAATTTCGGCATCTATTTCACAATCTAAAATCACAAAATCAGCCGAAAAGATGAACCGATCGACCTTTACCAAAATGTCATAAAGTATCCCCACAGGATGTTTGATTGAACGGTCTGCCATCAGAAGTCTTATAGTGGTTTCTTTCGGCTCACCCAACCCAAGTTGTTTGTATATTTCATAAGGCATTAAGTTGATGCTTGCTCCCAAATTGCATAAAGCTTTAGCGAATTGGAGCACGCCTATGGTGCAAAGGATGGTGAATGCGCCGGGATATTCTCTCTTTTTGATCAGCTCCTTGGACATAATTGCACTGCAACTATATGAAACTTCAATTGTCTCAAAATCCAAGCTCCTTTTCTTGGTGACTAGATCTTTCATGAACTTGGCATATCCCAGCATTTCCAATAACGCTTCCACAAGGGGGAGGTTGATTGATAGTGTCTTGAGCACTGACAGAAACTTCTTGACCCTCTCATCCTCATTCTTCTTCAAGCGTTGGGGAAATGGTGGATGTATTTTGGGTAAAGGTTGCATAACCTTTGGAATGTGAACCTGTTGTTCCACTTCTTTATGAGGTTCTTTGGCAAAGTTTTGATGGATGAGTGACTGCTGTTCCTCTATCCCCTTATCTTCTTCATGCTGTTGAGTATCTTCATTTCCCATCACATTACCAATTTCCACTTTGCCGCTACGAGTGACCACAACCAGTTTTCTATCGTCATCTTCCATCGTTATCTTTGGTTTCAATTGAGCTGATAATAAACTCAATTGTCCTTCAAGTATCTTAATGGCATTGGCATGAGAATTCACTTTACTGTTCAATGATGAAAAGTCATTTTTCATCCCTTTCAACAAATCATTCGAACCCTCAACTTTATCAAGTATGCGTGACAACAAGTCATTCACCCGCGGATTGCTTGCACTCCCTTTGGATTTTGGGCTTTCACTTGAGTGAGTATAGACCAAAGGTCTAACTTTCAAACTCTTTCATTTTCCCTCATTTTTCAGCTTCCCAAACTCGTGCCTATCTAGTATTTTTGGTATTTTTGCATTCCATAATTATTGTTGTTGATTGATTCGTGCTTTGAATTGGAATACATTACCGCCTAGCTTTTCAATATTATTTTTATAGCCATTTAAGGTTGGTCTTCCGAATCCCGCTTTTATATTTAGTAATTTGTACTCATTTGCTATGATCTTATCTTAGTAATGTATGCTGGGCATCTCTGATAGGATTAGAGTGTTTGAATGCCTGTTGAAATTGGATAATCTTTCCCGTAATGCTTTGAATATTAAAGTCCCGTCTGTTTGTGCTCTAAAATAAAGTAGATTTTTTTGTGGGGTTGTGCTTGCATGTTGTTTAGTTGAGTTGGGTGAAGTCTGAGTAGCCCGTATTTGCGCCAAAACGATGTAATTTACCTAATGATAGAGTGGGTGACTTCGTTCTTAAGGGCAAAAGCCGTCAATTAGCCAAATTTGGCAAACCGGGAGAAGTTTGAGTATCTCAGGGCAATGGGTGTTATGGGTCTTAGCTTAATTTAACTAGTGCATTCTTTGATTTTGTTTTCAGGGGTTGCGGGGTTGAATTCGAGAAGTTGGGTTAAGAATAGGGATGCTGGGCCATTTGGCGAGCTTGGTCGAGCTCGCTGAACCACTCGGCGGTTAGCCTAATGTCCCACCTCGCCTTTAATTTCACGCTTTGTTTGTTAGTTGAATTTTGTAACTTTCAGCGAGAGGCCTAAGGTCGCGGAATATACTCCACGAATCACCGAAAGTATTCTTGATCGCCTTTTGTCTACAACCCTATACCTTTGTTGCACTGGAACTTTCGGCGGGAAGACCTTTACTCGCCGAGAGCTGTTTGCGATTCGCCGAAAGGTCCTTCCCATCGCCAACTTGCCAAGAATTTTGAGCCAATCCGTTCGGCAAACCTGACCTAGTTCGCCAGACCGATTCAGCTACTCGCCAACTGGTTCAGTGAGTATGGCTAAAACTGTAACAGCCCGTATTATGCATATGCTTGTTCTATTCTTGTGATACTTGACGTTGCCTTATAGTATAGGTGAGGGACCATGTTTCTTATATGGTTAGCGTTTGTTTAAACTAGCTCGGAAGGTGATGTGATGCCTTGCACGTTGCAACATGTGTACTGCAAGTTATAACTCCAACGAAAGTATTTAAACTCGAGACATGAAGGTGGTAATTGAGCTTAAAGTTGAAAGTTAAGGGCTAAGTTAAAGAAAAAGAGATTAATAATAGAAAATGGAATAAAATAGGTGAGCTTCTTGCTTGACTTAACTAAGCTAGTAGGTGACAAGTAGGTGCATCACCTACTTTGACTTATTGACTAGTCCAAAGAACCAAGTAGGTGCATCACCTACTTGAGCTATATGGATCTAGTTAAAAAGG